ATCATTATCTATACATACTTCACTTTTTTTCACAGGCTCTAAATTATGACTGCAACAGCTTCACTGGGAGAAAAGTTCACCTACTTGTTCTCAACTTTGGCCCCGATTTCCTAAAATCTTCCATATTGTCTTACCTGTTTTTTTTTATTTCTGGGATTTGCTTTTCAGGCTGCCTTACTATATGAAATCACCAGTCTCAATTTTAACTCAATGATCTCAGTGTAGAACCCTTCTTTAATGATGGTTTTTTTGGGAGAGTTCATTATCTTTTCTCACTTAAGGTTGCTCCACCTCTTACTCTTCATCCTCTTGATACTTTCTGATGCCCCCCCCACCTGGATGCTATGGATCACAGAAGTAATTTGTTTTTGAAGTTACCCCCCATGGTTTTGTGAGACCTCCACTCTCCTATTTTGTACACCAGTGGACACTCTTTGCATAAAACATTTGGTTCACTCATGCTTACCCTTGCACTTACATCTTCTGTGCCCGAAAAAGCTGTTCCTTCTCTCTAGGTTATAAATGGCATGGACTAGGTCCTAAACCCTAATCTAAGGCTTTAATGTCATTTCCATAAAGATGGAAAATTGGTATCTTATGATTGTTCTATTGTCCTTGAACATATTTATTGTCATCCTTCAGTTCAAGATTGACAGTTTTCCCAATCTGAGGTAGTTTCTCATGGATTGTAGATGGCCAGGGTTGATTTGGAAGTATTTCTTCATATTCCAATTTGTCCAACACACATCACTTCCTCAATTTGTCATTGAGGTCAGACTTTTCAGTTCCAGGTCCTTCCCTTAGGGTTGGTTATGGCCTCGTATGTTTTCAATCAGCTCCTAAGGGCATTTGCAATTACAAAGTGAGACAGCAGTCAATTTATGGACTTACAATGCTACAGTCTGAGGTTTGCTTTTCCAATGAGCAAGGAATGCAAATGGCCCACCCTTCTTCCCCTCTTCAGGTGCGTTTCTTCTGCCTTGTCAAGAATGAGCCATTCTACTACTGCCAAAGGGTTGTAGTCTAACACTGATTGCATCATAGACTGACACAATACACGTTAATGCGTGAAGGGATGGGAGTTTCATTCAAGGTTCAGTGCATGACAAAATAATGTTTTTGGCACTGGTGCAATGTAATAACTATCAATTCTGTGGAGTGGCGAGTAGCATTTCTGAAAGAATTCATCATATTTCTAAAAGCATTGGTATCAGAATTATCTTATTCTTGACTTCAGAATTCAAAACAAAGTTAACAGTATGACTGACAACAAATAAATTTGGTGGTAAAGATGGCTCATTTACATTTTCCTGATGCACATGCACTAAGTAACAAGGAAGTTGGGAGAGCAAAGAATTCTGGGTAAATATATTAATATGCTCTCCATTTCAGAATATGAAGTCACAAGGTTGTTTACAGCATGAAAGAAACAAGAAAATGCATTAAGTATTTCAGGGGTAAGTCGACCTAATTTCAATATCATTGCTACAATAGTTGAGGCATGATGAGGATCTCTTACTTCAGCTACCCCTATGGTTGAACTGACAAGGAATAGTATTCTCTAAGTTGTCTAACTCACTACAGTAGGCCTAACATCTATTCTCTCATTAGAGTCCTGAGGAATATAATTCACTAGTTGTTATAATCTATTAAGATTTATATGTTGAATTACATTCTGCTATTAGTCTAGGAAAATGAAGATTGTAACTTATATAAAAATTCCACTTGCATTCACATCATGCAACTACTTGAGCTTTAAATCTAACATTCAATTAAATGTTTACATTGTACAACATAAATAGTGGTTGTACAGCAATGTGCTACTACTAAAGTACTGAACAACCAACTAGTCAGTTTTATGAAAACCATACTAAGTTCTATATAAAACTGTGTAGTAACTATCAAATAATGGCCATTACAAATGTGAAAATGTTAACATAAATGAAAGGAAATACAGCTGAATAACTTCAACCAATTATTATGTAGAAAGATCATGTACATTTACAAAATTACAAATTGACCAGTAATTAATGAGTATTTGAAATCACCGTACATATTTAAATTTTAAAGTTGGTTTGCATATAAATATATGGTGGAATCTTACATCGTAGTGATGTATGAGTTTTCGGGAACAGATTTGTGATGTCTCGTACTGGAGATCGATCAGATTTGGGCATGGTATGCCTTGCCAGAGATATTACAGGTATAAGCATTCATTGGCAGTGGTAGTAAAGCAGCCACTTTTCTGTTCTTTTTTTTTTTTCTAGAGCTGGGCAGTTAATTAATGTAAATGATTATCTTTTAGCATCAATTACATCTATTAGTTTCATGTAAAATAATCAATTAATCAAATTAATTAGTGTCATGAAAGTAATCAACTGATCAAAATCAGTTTCCTATTATTTCTGTTTGATTATACCAACTATCTAAGTAATCAAAATAGAATCAATGTGATTTATGATTTTTAATTATTTTAAATTAATTCAAGTTTCTTCAGCTTAATGTGTGACAACTTACAAAACTAATCAAGTAATTAAAATTGGTGTTTCATTATTCCAACTGTCCAAGTATATCATGTGAGAATAATTGATTAATTGAATTTAAGTGATAAATAATCATGATGATTAATCAGTTAGTAAATTTCAATAATCTCCCAGCATTATATACCATTCAAATAATTTTCTAAATTATCAAAAAATTCTAGTCCTTAAGCCATGCCCACCACATGACATGAAAATTCCATCTAGGCAATAACAGCCCTAACATTTAAATAAAAAAACAAAAAACAGGCTACAATATTGCTTCATACTTGAATTATCAACTTCCTGGACAAATACTATTACAAAAAGAAAGAAATGTTAAATTAAACTTAAACTTCCTAATGAAAAATTAAATATTGACAGTGAATAACATTAATATTCATAAACTTAAACATTACAATCCATAAATCTTTAATTAAAAGTGAGCAAAAAAGTATGAAATGAAATTTTTGTTTACTGTCCTTGAGCTGTCTAGTCACCAAATCTTTTGGGTAGCTTTCTTTTCCATGGTTTATAGTATTAAGATGACTTTTTCTCCTTTATTATCAGTTGTCATTTTGTCACTGGTGGAGTTCTAGTCATATAGATGTCAAAGGAATCCACTTGTGTCTCCATCCATGGTGATACTTTTTAAGTAATCTAGACAGTAACCATGGGTTCTTAAACATGTTGATTTACTCATTGAAGTTGATTCTGAAATTTTACTTTATATTCACCTAAATAATTCCACACTTCTGACACCAGTTTTGTAACAGTTTCTTATTTTTTTTAAGGGTTCTTTTTTTTATTATTCAATACAAAGATTGCAAAGACTAGTCCAGTAATGATAACAAAAGTGTTTTATGACATTGGCTAAATGCTCCAAAATTTACATTTCTCAAGTTTTACATAACTAACAGTTTTCTGAACCTCGCAAGTAAACAACATCTAAACAGAAATTCCACTTACTTAGCAGTTTTTGCATCTCTTTTACTCAAAATTTCTAAAACTGTCTGACAGTAACTAACAACATATTTAACAAATTCACTAACTTATTAAACATTCATCCTCTGTAACAAACTCATGTTATTACTTAAAGTTATATTTTACTTATCAATACAGCTGGGTGGTCTTAATTAAACTATTACCTATGAGGGTCAGTGTCACGTAAAATAGTCAAATAATCAAAATTAGGGTTTCCAATTATCAACACTGTCAATTATTCCAACTATCTAAGAAACTGAAATATTTAATTTTGATTTCTATTATTATTTTTGACTAATTCAAAGTTGCTCATCTTAATCAATTAGTTTCATAGTTTATCAAAATAATCAGCTCATCAAAATTAATGTTTCTAACTATTTGATATTATTCCAACTATCCAAATCTTGTGAGGATATAAATTATTTGAATGGAATCTATTGATAAACCCAATGATTGATCAGATATTTGACTCATCACCCAGTTCTACCAATCAGTCCTGTTAGCACAGAGGAAAAAATAGTTTTGGCATCCTGTCTTAGAAAGTACAAAAACAAAACAAATTATGTTTTAAAATAAAGCCCTGTTCAGGTTAATGTGTATGTGTGTGTGTGTGTATATATATATAAAAGTAAGTACAGAGTGACTATAAATAACATACTGTTTTCAATATATTTAGGTATAATACTCTGACATTTACATTTCTATCATTTGTATTCTGCTGCTATTAACAACTTTGAAAATCAATAAAACTTTCACTGAAAAACTCTTATGTGTATGTTTGTCAGCTCTAGAGCACAAAGCTCTGCCCACTGAAGGTATCGAAATCCAAGTTTTAGTGTTGTAAGCCCACTTACATGTATGAATCTCTACAACACAGTTTTCAACAATTTTGGTATAAAAACCTAAAATATTACAACTGTACATGAATTCTGATAATGTCCATGTCAAGATTTCAAGGTGACTAGGTAAAGAATAAAAAATATTATATGCAGATAAACATATATTTTACTCAAATGCTACATTTTTCTTCATAAACTTCTGAAGGTTAAAGGTTTTAGGTCTTCCTTTTTAAGGTTATTGGGTTATTAAGAAAGAAAAAATTGTTCTCTTATATTGAACAGGCTACTAATTTTTCTATACTCTAAAAAGGTTATCTATTTTCAGGTTCAGAATAATTCAATGAAACTCTACTGATAACTTTTAATTGACATTTCATGTAGCTACAATATGAATAAATTACCCCAAACGACAGAGGAGTAGAATCACTTAATTTTCCATCCAGTTTATATGTGTGTGTGTGTGTGTTATCATTATATATATACATGTATGAATACACAAACACTAGTTTTTGTTGCATGCTATGTTTCTTAACTTACATGTTTATAGTATTGTTGACAAGTGGGAGTTTTCATGCTTCATGATGGGCATGGCTTTATGTCTAAAATACTCTTGAAAGTTTAGGAAACTTACTGAGTGATAATAAGCAAGAACAGATTATTATTGATACACGTCATCATGTTGTGGTGAAACATCACCATGAATAGCCTTTTCCTTAAATCCTTCTAATGCTGTAGTTAGACATTCTTCAAAGTCAGGTCCAAGTGCAATTTCTTTCCATCTGACTGAGTCTCCTATAATCTTAATAGAATATAAACCAAGTAAAGTAGTTGTGATGAATCTGTGACGATATTATCAGAGTAAAAAAAAAGTTAGAAACTCATGGTAGAGATAACTGGAATTAAATGAAACTAAACATATGAATATAAACATAACAAAGTTAAGGTAAACTAATGTTATAGTAGAAAAAGATATCACTACAATTAATTTAGAAACTTTAATCTTACAAGAAGTAGGTACAAAAAATATTAATGTCAAAATATTTCAAAAAGCCAGAACAGTATAACAGCTTATCTGTAGAAAGTCAGCAGACCCAAATGTGTGGGCCACCAAACTCGATGCCTGATGAAGGTCAACTCAAATAATGATCAATCTCCCAATGTATTAAAACTGAAAATTCCTCTGTCGATTACTGCCACCTGAAGCCTAGTTTATTGTACTGTAAGTAAATGATAATGTTTTAGAAGTGGAAACATAAGTTTCATTGAAAAAACTGAAATATTTCTACTTCGTATGAGAGAACAAACAAAAAACGTCTTGATAATAGCACTGCCAAGTAATAGTTCGGTAGAATCGAATAGAGGGAGTCACTTGCATTAGGAGGGTGTGTCGCACTCCTATTGGTGGTTGTCGCATGATGATTTGCACATGAGACACAGTTGAATCATATTGATCTTAGGGTACATGGGAGCTGAAGGCTTGTTGCATTCAAAAAAAATTTTGATTATAAAGGGCAGCACTGAAAGTGAATAGCTATTTATGTTGGAGGAGGTAACATACTGTATCAGAAGTAGTTTCATTTAAGGATACATATAATGCTTGGTAAAGGTAGTAAACACTATTATATTGAATGCCTTTACTTTGTTCTGTATTTCACAGAGTATTCTGAAAGAACTTTCAAAAAATTAAGTTTTTTCCATGTACTAAAAACTTCAGCAGCTTTAACCTATGATAATAAATATTGTAACAACATAAAAGTTCATAGTAGGAATATAGTCTGTGAATTCCAATCTAAATATTATTATTCAAATAACTCCCACCTGAATTTCCTGCTTGACTTGATATATTTAACACTGCACAGCATATATCTTGAGTAATATGTGGTTATAACTTTCAATTTTCTCCTTTCCCAAAACGGTGGTTCTTGTAATCATTAGAATCAGAACTTATTTACTGTAACTATTAATGTAACTTTTACATGGTAATGACCCAATGCTATTCTTGTAATCATTAGAATCAGAACTTACTTACTGTAACTATTAATGTAACTTTTACATGGTAATGACCCAATGCTATTCTTGTAATCATTAGAATCAGAACTTACTTACTGTAACTATTATTTTGTTTTCCAGTTGAATAAAAGTTTTTGTTTACTGTTAACTGCCTACTGTTGGTATCGAAACACAATTTTTACTGTTATAAGCCCAAAGACTTATCGCTGAGTAGCATTGGGTCATTACCATGTAAAAGTTACATTAATAGTTACAGTAAGTAAGTTCTGATTCTAATGATTACAAGAATAGCATTGGGTCATTACCATGTAAAAGTTACATTAATAGTTACAGTAAGTAAGTTCTGATTCTAATGATTACAAGAATGTAACTTTTACCTGGTAATGACCCAATGCTTTAATAGTTACAGTAGGTGTAGCATTGGGTCATTACCATGTAAAAGTTACATTAATAGTTACAGTAAGTAAGTTCTGATTCTAATGATTACAAGAATAGCATTGGGTCATTACCATGTAAAAGTTACATTAATAGTTACAGTAAGTAAGTTCTGATTCTAATGATTACAAGAACTTACTGTAACTATTAATGTAACATTAAGTTCTGATGATTACAAGGATAGCATTGGGTAATTACCAGGTAAAAGTTACATTAATAGTTACAGTAAGTAAGTTCTGATTCTGATGATTACAAGAATAGCATTGGGTCATTACCAGGTAAAAGTTACATTAATAGTTACAGTAGGTAAGTTCTGATGATTACAAGGATAGCATTGGGTCATTACCAGGTAAAAGTTACATTAATAGTTACAGTAAGTAAGTTCTGATGATTACAAGGATAGCATTGGGTCATTACCAGGTAAAAGTTACATTAATAGTTACAGTAAGTAAGTTCTGATTCTGATGATTACAAGGATAGCATTGGGTAATTACCAGGTAAAAGTTACATTAATAGTTACAGTAGGTAAGTTCTGATTCTGATTATTACAAAGATAGCATTGGGTCATTATCAGGTAAAAGTTACATTAATAGTTACAGTAAGCAAGTTCTTATGATTACAAGAATAGCATTGGGTAATTACCAGGTAAAAGTTACATTAATAGTTACAGTAGGCAAGTTCTGATTCTAATGATTACAAGAATAGCATTGGGTCATTACCAGGTAAAAGTTACATTAATAGTTACAGTAGGTAAGTTCTGATTCTGATGATTACAAGGATAGCATTGGGTCATTACCAGGTAAAAAGTTACATTAATAGTTACAGTAGGTAAGTTCTGATTCTGATGATCACAAGGATAGCATTGGGTCATTACCAGGTAAAAAGTTACATTAATAGTTACAGTAGGTAAGT